TCAATTCAGTATATACAATATGAACATATGTACAAAATCACACACCAAGCACATTGGACTGCTCATTGATGCGCTACCCTTTGAAGAATTGTAGGACTTACAGCAGTACGCCTACAACCCTTCTCAGGTTGACGCCCTAGGTTGGAAAATCGTCGCAGAGTTCATTTGCTGACTTCCCTCTATCAGGTATATCCTCAAATCTGAACGGTAACACGCTCATGTCATTGTATCGTAGAATATAGATGACGAACAAACACACGACATATCTCATCAACCAAGTGTAGAAACAGAGTAATTTACACCGAAGATAATAACATTCAAATAGTAACTTGAAAGTAGAAATGCCTTTATTCGTGCAAGTCAATTTAACAATTACTCTCTCGTTTACACTTGGCTTATTCTCACTAAACTGAGCAATGTCTTTCGTCTTTTCGCTGGCAGCAATACTATCATAGTCATTGCATAAGGCACGTGAGTACATGGACGTCCATTTCATTGTGGTTGATAACACCAACGACGACTGATTGATACCAGTTGATGAACTTAGCGGTGGATCAGAAGCTGTTCTTGTTCGGCTTTCAGATAGTTGACTAACTGCAAGATTACCACCACTGCTGTCTTTCACTACTAGTTCGGGTTTAGCACTATCATCTGATGATAGGTGGGCTACATGCTGATCAATTACACTGACTGTCTCACAAGTATGCACACCTTCTGGAACAGCATCTGCGTTCAATTTTACTTCACGTTGTAGTTGTACAGAACCTTTGTTCAACTTAGCAGTAGTAGGCATATCCCTCATCTCATCATGATCAACCAGAGACAAATCTGCACTTACATGATCATTATCACAAATATTCAATTTAGCAACAACTTCATCATTTTCAAACTCTTTAATAACAGAAGTAGATGATTTAGGTTCTTCCTCACAAATCCTTAAAGATTTTATACCTTCACTCTGACTAGAAATACCTTGTAAACTTGTGGAGTCAGAACTGCACTCTGAAGCAATAACTCTATTCTGTGACACTCTATTCAACACTGACTCAAAAGTTGCAACTACAGAATTCTTGACCACATCGTTATCGTCACACAATTCGGAGTCAGGCCTGGAGTTTACATTTAGCTTATCACTGAACTTGCTCACTGGTTCACAGTTCACCTTTGTATGCACCTCTTGCAAACGTGTGAAACACAACCATGTTTGTCTTGCATCTTGTAACTTATCTGTTGAGGATGTACTACGAAACCTGTTACACTCACTAAGTCTATATGCATTGCTAGAGATCATGGAGCCTTTTCGATATCCACCTCTCTGAGGCCTATTCGTCATCAATGATTGCGTTTTACCCTCAGACTGCTCTATTCTAGGGGTGAGATTCAATATACTGGCAAACTTGCTCATAGATTGATTGACGCTATCTTTTACCAGTTTCAGGATATCATCAAAACTTGACTCGATACCCTCATCCTCCATACGGGAGCTTATCTTCACCCACTTCCTTTTCAGTCGAGTAGGTAGACGTCTTGCTATTACTTCTAGTATAAAACTCGAGTTGAGGTCACTCGTCCAATTCATCGAAATCAATGCATTCTTGTAAATTAGCAAATTATCTAAAAACTCAGTGAGTGCCTGGGAGTCATCCTGTAATTGACCACCATTACCCTTAACAGCCTCGAATAATTTCCCTGCAATCATCGAAGGTCTTCCAAACCTTTGACGTAATATGTCCATAGCCTCATCGTAGCCCTCTTTCGGTTTCATAAACTTACAGCACTGTATAGCTCTTGAAGCAACTCCAGTGCAATATCTCATCAAATACATTAACTTCAATTCATCATTTAATAGAAAACTACTCAACATGATCTCAAACTCCTTTACAAATTGTAAATAATCAGCCGGGTTTCCATCAATACACCGTGGTTCAAATTTAGGGAGTTTGATGTTCCTATTATCTCTGAACGGCGAAACAGTAACATCAACCATGTCATGCTTAACATCAGACACATCGTTACAATTAACAGACAAGTCACCATGACTTCCTTTCATGTGTGCATCCAAGACACTCTGTCCCTACTTTGACCCAGGCATTGTTGAACTTGACCCAATTCCAAAAGCGTTCCAGATATTGCTTGTTCAAAGAGGACTTGACCGGCACAAGGAGAGATGAACGGCGACTATCCAAACTTTCACCAACTGTTTGAATCCGCCAGATCTGTTTCCATCGTCAGAAACTGTCAATCACGTCTCGTAAACCGTCAATGTCCAGCTCTCGCGACGCTCGGGCCCACGCTGCTCTTCGAAGATTTCAGAAACGCTTAGTTATAACGGACGAAATAACCAAAACACCGATTGGCCGCTTGATATTTGTTTATTATTACACCAACATATAAAAAGCATAAGTGAATTAAGGTCTCTGAACAAATATTACAATAATAAATCACAATATTACTTCTGACGATGTTTCACTCTTCTATCTGAACAGCGACCGATGAGACGATGACTGTCGTATTGATGCCTCCGCGAAAATTGGGGAAGTTGATTTTAAGCAAACAACCAAGAATTGATCGTTCAATCTTCAACTCCGTTGACAACGTCTTTACTTAATCCTCATTATATCCCATTAAACCTAACATTTTATAGCTCTTTATGAATTTGATTCGACTTATTCTATTCCTATTCTCTGAAGAGTACGCTTGTGCACCAAATGCACAAAAAGGCATAAAATAAAAAAACCGACATAGGGAAAAATATACTAAAACCAAAATTGGACATCATGATAGTACGAGATATACGTGTAGCATTATACATTGCAAATGAACGTTGTCAGCCTAGGGAGTTTCCTTTATTAATGCATTTATTAATGATACTTGCACTTACCTATTTCATTACAATTTAATGATTCACCTCAGCAATTTTACTTTTCTAAAACAGCTTTGAATCCCTTGTAGAAGTTGTACTTACCTCAATATTGGTTGGTTATCGTATGCCTACAACCACGGGATGAAAACGAAACGAAGTCGATTTTCCCGCTCAACCTGGAGGACAATTGTACAATTCAATAACTATACAGCCTAGTTCAGACAATGTGTATTTATATATATATCAAATATTTAACTGTTGAAACATTATTAACTTGTAGACAATCTACGATTTGATATTATATCACACTTGATCGTGCCTGTAAAAATGGCGTGCATTTTCATGTTAATTTATATGTTTATATGAGAATATACATTATTGTTATTGCTAGGTATTCCTGACCAGTTTTCACATGGCATGTGTCAATATAGTTGAAGATTGAACGATCAATTCTTGGTAGTTTGCTCAAAATCAACTTCCCCAATTTTCGCGGAGGCATCAATACGACAGTCATCGTCTCATCGGTCGCTGTTCACAAAGAAGTCAGCAGTAAATCATCAGAAGTAATATTGTGATTTATTGTTGTAATATTTGTTCACAGACCCTAGTAAAAACATTATTTTTATATGTTGGTGTAACAATAAAGAATCCTCGAGTCACCAATCGGTCTTTTGGTTATTTCGTCCGTTATTACTAAGCGTTTCTGAAAAACTTCAAGGAACAGCGTGGGCACGAGCGTAGCAAGAGCTGGGCATTAACGGTTTACGAGACGTGATTGACAGTTTCTGACGGTAGAAACAGATTCTGTTTGGATTCAGACATTTGGTGATAGTTAGGATAGTCACTGTTCATCTCTCCTTGTGCCGGTCAAGTCCTCTTTGAACAAGCAATATCTGGAACGCTTTTGGAATTGGGTCAAGTTCAACAATGCCTGGGTCAAAGTAGGGACAGAGTGTCTTGGATGCACACATGAAAGGAAGTCATGGTGACTTGTCTGTTAATTGTAACGATGTGTCTGATGTTAAGCATGACATGGTTGATGTTACTGTTTCGCCGTTCAGAGATAATAGGAACATCAAACTCCCTAAATTTGAACCACGGTGTATTGATGGAAACCCGGCTGATTATTTACAATTTGTAAAGGAGTTTGAGATCATGTTGAGTAGTTTTCTATTAAATGATGAATTGAAGTTAATGTATTTGATGAGATATTGCACTGGAGTTGCTTCAAGAGCTATACAGTGCTGTAAGTTTATGAAACCGAAAGAGGGCTACGATGAGGCTATGGACATATTACGTCAAAGGTTTGGAAGACCTTCGATGATTGCAGGGAAATTATTCGAGGCTGTTAAGGGTAATGGTGGTCAATTACAGGATGACTCCCAGGCACTCACTGAGTTTTTAGATAATTTGCTAATTTACAAGAATGCATTGATTTCGATGAATTGGACGAGTGACCTCAACTCGAGTTTTATACTAGAAGTAATAGCAAGACGTCTACCTACTCGACTGAAAAGGAAGTGGGTGAAGATAAGCTCCCGTATGGAGGATGAGGGTATCGAGTCAAGTTTTGATGATATCCTGAAACTGGTAAAAGATAGCGTCAATCAATCTATGAGCAAGTTTGCCAGTATATTGAATCTCACCCCTAGAATAGAGCAGTCTGAGGGTAAAACGCAATCATTGATGACGAATAGGCCTCAGAGAGGTGGATATCGAAAAGGCTCCATGATCTCTAGCAATGCATATAGACTTAGTGAGTGTAACAGGTTTCGTAGTACATCCTCAACAGATAAGTTACAAGATGCAAGACAAACATGGTTGTGTTTCACACGTTTGCAAGAGGTGCATACAAAGGTGAACTGTGAACCAGTGAGCAAGTTCAGTGATAAGCTAAATGTAAACTCCAGGCCTGACTCCGAATTGTGTGACGATAACGATGTGGTCAAGAATTCTGTAGTTGCAACTTTTGAGTCAGTGTTGAATAGAGTGTCACAGAATAGAGTTATTGCTTCAGAGTGCAGTTCTGACTCCACAAGTTTACAAGGTATTTCTAGTCAGAGTGAAGGTATAAAATCTTTAAGGATTTGTGAGGAAGAACCTAAATCATCTACTTCTGTTATTAAAGAGTTTGAAAATGATGAAGTCGGCAGATGATGTTGCTAAATTGAATATTTGTGATAATGATCATGTAAGTGCAGATTTGTCTCTGGTTGATCATGATGAGATGAGGGATATGCCTACTACTGCTAAGTTGAACAAAGGTTCTGTACAACTACAACGTGAAGTAAAATTGAACGCAGATGCTGTTCCAGAAGGTGTGCATACTTGTGAGACAGTCAGTGTAATTGATCAGCATGTAGCCCACCTATCATCAGATGATAGTGCTAAACCCGAACTAGTAGTGAAAGACAGCAGTGGTGGTAATCTTGCAGTTAGTCAACTATCTGAAAGCCGAACAAGAACAGCTTCTGATCCACCGCTAAGTTCATCAACTGGTATCAATCAGTCGTCGTTGGTGTTATCAACCACAATGAAATGGACGTCCATGTACTCACGTGCCTTATGCAATGACTATGATAGTATTGCTGCCAGCGAAAAGACGAAAGACATTGCTCAGTTTAGTGAGAATAAGCCAAGTGTAAACGAGAGAGTAATTGTTAAATTGACTTGCATGAATTAAGGCATTTCTACTTTCAAGTTACTATTTGAATGTTATTATCTTCGGTGTAAATTACTCTGTTTCTACACTTGGTTGATGAGATATGTCGTGTGTTTGTTCGTCATCTATATTCTACGATACAATGACATGAGCGTGTTACCGTTCAGATTTGAGGATATACCTGATAGAGGGAAGTCAGCAAATGAACTCTGCGACGATTTTCCACCCTAGGGCGTCAACCTGAGAAGGGTTGTAGGCGTACTGCTGTAAGTCCTACAATTCTTCAAAGGGTAGCGCATCAATGAGCAGTCCAATGTGCTTGGTGTGTGATTTTGTACATATGTTCATATTGTATATACTGAATTGATATCATATGTCATCTAGCTGTTGGTGATTCTGTTTGTGTCCGGACGACTTCCACTTGGATCATCAACCTGAGAAGGAATGTAGGCGTACTGCTGTACGTCCAACAGTTCTTCAAGGGTAGTTCGTCATGCCGGAACCCACAACATTTGATGTAGTGATTTTACATATGTTTGTGTTAAATAGTTGTGTGAGTTCCAATTATCGTAATTGTCGGTTAACCTTGTTTGTGTCTGGACATTTTTGAAACTTACAATCATCAAGCTGTGAAGGTTTGTATGCGTACTGGTGTAAGTCCTGCGATTCTTCAAAGGAATTCCATCAAGACATGATCCGCGAGTTCGTGTGTACTGTTTGTATATATGTGTGGAGTGTCATATCAATTGGTGTTTGTTGGATTCATTGTGTTTACTCGTTGTTTTCGTATCTTGTTGTTATTGCATAATTTTGTTAAAATGTTCGTCGTGATTACTTCTGAAGTTGTTTCGAGTCTTCTACATCCATGAATGAATTGATTGATGTTAGAGACAGCAGATGGGTCGTATGCGCCGGGGAGGCTAGGCTATTGGTGGGAATGAAATGCATACGGAGATAATTGTTAGCTGCGGTTCGACACGCCGGGGAGAAAGAGTGTAAACGACTGAGGCTCGCATGCGTCACCGCCACTAGAACTGAGTTGGAATGAGTGACAAGCGATTTCAGTGATAATTGGTAGTGAGTAGATAAGAGGATGTGCGTAGAGTATCATGAGGTGCTGCTATGGTCACTTTGCATTCTGCAAGAGTCATTCTAGCAAATGGCGATTGTGTTGCAAGATGTCGATAGGACACCTTTAACTGGAAGGTGTAGGTCGTCAATGATGTGTTAGACTGTGCTGTGAGTATGCTTGTGGTGTGTTGGCTTTTCTATTCGTTTTCCATTTCAGCTCTGTCCTTGTGACCCAGGTTCTCGCAATGGCATCCAAGTCAACGTGTATTGGTCGTGAAGTAAAATAGGGTCGGATCCCTTTTTTTCCGGGGAGTGTCAATGTAGTTGAAGATTGAACGATCAATTCTTGGTAGTTTGCTCAAAATCAACTTCCCCAATTTTCGCGGAGGCATCAATACGACAGTCATCGTCTCATCGGTCGCTGTTCACAAAGAAGTCAGCAGTAAATCATCAGAAGTAATATTGTGATTTATTGTTGTAATATTTGTTCACAGACCCTAGTAAAAACATTATTTTTATGTGTTGGTGTAACAATAAAGAATCCTCGAGTCACCAATCGGTCTTTTGATTTTTTCGTCCGTTATTACTAAGCGTTTCTGAAAATCTTCAAGGAACAGCGTGGGCCCGAGCGTAGCAAGAGCTGGGCATTAACGGTTTATGAGACGCGGCTGACAGCACGCTTTAGACATTACAAAGTACCAGTTTGCATATATTATGGGAGAACTTTCACAACTAATTTGGGATTATGCATCCAGGAAAATTATAGAGAATCTTATGAGTTTATAAACCCGATTGAAGAAATATCGATAGGATCTCTAGTAAGCTGAATAACCGAACGTTAGGTAAAGGCATGTGGGAGAGATTAGGTTGGTTTTATCACGTTATAGATGAGGTACGGTTGCCGGGGCAAATGAGTTTCCTCAAATTGGGGGTATTGCACTGGGGTCTGTAGTACTAAAGCTATATGGATAAAGTATGGATAAGTAGACCGAAGCTCTTTTGTTGATAGGAACTCGTTAAGTAGACGCTGGAATTCAGTAGGAGATCGGCAACTACGTACAGTAAGTGGAAGTTCGTTCCATAATGCACTGTACTGTATTTTAAAGAAACGTGATCGCAGTTTTGTCCGGAACCGGCTTATGGATAGAGTATTTTCATGATTCCTAAGAGTATATATGGGTAAATTGTTGAAAGCTATTGGATTACTGCTTTTGGTGTAGCCGTGTAAAAGGCGAAAGAGGAATGTAAGGTTGAGTTTCAGGCGCCTTAACCAAAGTGGCTGAAGTCCATACATTTTGCACCTATCAGCGTAAGTCAGTCCTTCATGTTTGTATAATAGGCGTCGAGTAAAACTTCGCTGAATATTTTCAATACGAACCCTGTCATACCCATGCATGAAACCGAAGACAATTGTGCAGTATTCAAGTACTGGACGAACCATGACTTTGTATAAAAGGACTTTAGCCTCATTTGTGTACATTTTTCGATGTAACAAGCCTGTGAGTCTTCGGCATTTAGAAACAAGTGCTTTTGCGTACTGACTGAATGTTAAGTTTTGTGAGTAGGTAACTCCCAGGTCTTTTATGGAACTGAGGGTTTGGAGAAAAGAGTTACCTAGGTGTAACCTGAAATTCGGATGGGAGTTATTGAAATATAGGACACCACATTTATCAGAATTGAATGGCAGTTGCCAGTCATTGCTCCAGTTATGTAACCTATCCAGATCATCTTGAATATGTGTGAATCCTTCGTTTAGTGTAGAATGGGGGAAGCTGTATACAATCTTTAAGTCGTCAGCAAAGAGGTATGGGGTACCATGCTTGATTACGCTGCAGATGTCGTTAATGTAGATTACGAAAAGCAGTGGACCTAGTACACTACCCTGAATCACTCCACTTCTTATAGGTCTGGGTGACGAGTAATTATTTGCAAATTTCACAACTTGGGAACGATCTTCCAAGAAAGAAATGAGCCAGGATAACAAGGGGTCTTGGAACCCGTACGACTTTAGCTTAAGGATTAGTCTCTTGTGTGGGACTTTATCAAAGGCTTTTTTGAAGTCAAAGAAGAGAGTTGTGACATACAAACCATGATCACGCTTAGCGGTAACATCATCAAAGTAGTCAAGTAGGCAGGTGGAGCATGATCGATTTTTCAAGAAGCCGTGTTGTGCTGGAGTAAACACTTTGTGAAGGTGGAGGTATGAAGCAATATCTTGCCCTATAACCTTTTCCATAACCCTGGAAACTACTGACGTGATATTAATCGGTCGGTAGTTTTCGATGTTAGAAGTTGGTCCTTGTTTGTGCCTAGGGGTTATAAACGACAGTTTCCAGCATTCTGGGTAACTGCCATTATTTAAGGACAGAATGAAAAACTTTAGTAGGATAATGGGTATATCCTCACCACCTCTTTTCAACAAGATAGATGGAATTCCATCGGGCCCAGCGTTATATGATGTCCGGAGGGATGCTATAGCGGAGGAAATCTTTTGTTGGGTGAATGTTATATTACCCAAAAAGTGATTTGGTATTGTCGGAACTTCAAGACTATCTACTGTTTCTTCGATAGTATAGTAGCTAGAAAAGTGGGAGCTGAATAACTCACATATCTCCTGCGGGTCTTCGTGTAGTTTTTCTCCATCTAGTAATAAGTTAGGGATACTTATTCTGTTGTTGTTGATTCGTGACTTAATTAGTTTAACTAATGCCTCTGTATTATCAGGTCGTGAGTGGAGGATGCGTTCTAGTTTGATGGACTCAGATAACTGATTAGATTTGTATGAATCATAAGTTTGCTTGAGTGTAATGAGTGATGAAAAGTCATTATATCTGTAGAATTGCCTAGCATGCTTACGCAGTCGGTTTCGAATCTTTACGGGGATGAAGTCGGGCTGTTTAGGCCTCGTTTTCACAAGTCTTACTGGAGCGATGAAGTCATGTGCAAATCCTAGGTTCTCATAGAGTAATTTGTTTGTCTCTATAGCCGAGCTGCACGTAAAGTATGGCTCCCAGTCTAGGGTGCGTATGTATGGTTTCAGTTCATCCCACTGAGCATGTCTGTAACCCCTGAGTAATACTTTGTTGGCGTTTATTGTCGAACTCATGCTAGTGCAAATATTAAATGTACCGAATACTACTCTGTGGTCGCTGCCAGGAAACTCTTTACCTACTCGAAGGGTAGTGGGGATGATACCATTAGTGAAAACTAGATCTAAAATCTTAGATAGCCTGGTAGGATACTGTACGTGTTGTTGCCATTCTTTTGTTTCTATTATGTTGATAAATTCATTGTACCGTTTTGGTGAGGAAAGTGGTTGCCAGACTACATCGGGCATATTAAAGTCCCCACATATAATTTTAGCCGTGTGAGGTAGTGAAGTGGCGTAAGCGAACGTGCTAGCAAGCTTCATATTACCTTCAACGGTTGAGCACGGGGGGTGATAGATGCAACCTATAAGATAGGAACTGGAGTGAGACAGTCTTAGAATAGCCCACACTGAATCGTTATCTGTGATGAGCTCTGGGTAGAAGCACTGTGTGGCCTTAATATCAGACCTGATATACATAGCACATCCTCCTCCTCTACCATAGTTTCTGTCGCCTCTGAATACATAATAGTTATCAATAGAAATATCTTTATCGCAAATCTGAGGAGTGCACCATGTCTCAGTAATCATTATGAGAGACGGATTGCAAATTAGGGATAATGTCGTGAAGTCGAACATTTTGTTGAGTAAGGAGCGAGCATTGATAAGACAGAATGAGAGAGAGTTAGGGGTGACGGTGAAATCGCATATATCTTTAAAAATATTCTCTCCAAGGTTTATGGCGTCTAGAACAGATTGTTTGATGGGTGCTAACTCAGATGGTGGCCACTTACTAGCAGTGCTGGAAAAGTGCCCTACACCAGTATCAGCACAGAGAGATGTGCCATCGTTTGTTACCCCG